ATCTTCATTGGGCCAAGACTGTTGTGACCCAGGCTGAATGGGAGGCTCTTGGGAAGTCATTCACCCAAGTGAGGTAAGTGAGCTTCCAGGGCACCGGGGCAGGGTCAGCGAATCACCTGTTCCTAGGGAGCTGGTGGGGAGAACCCATGTCCTGAGTGGTGCACGTGGCACTCTTGCTCACCTTGTCCCCGCTATGTCCTGCTCCATCAACACCAGCCAGCATCGTCCCGCCCTGCAGAGGCTGCAGGGAGGTGACCCTGCCAAGTTCTCCCTCTGCGTGCTCCTGGAGGACAGCTGCCTGGCCTGCTCCTCTTCCAGTTCCGTCTTGGGGTTTTGTCTCCTCGGTGAGCAGCACACAGGCCCACGCGCTGCCCAATGCTGCACTTTCAGGAATGTCCTCGTGGCGTCACTGGGTTGTCTCTATCTTCCCACGCCACACAACACAGCCCTAGTGTTGGCCCAGGTACCAGACAACACAGGTGAGCTGCCCACAAGGGGAAGAACTCCCGAGGCTCCTTTCTCTGACTGACAGTCGACAATCATGCAGGGCTGGGAGACGTTCACGGCCTGGCGCCAGGTGTGGAGAGCGCCCCAGCCAGGCGGCCCTCCCGCTGCCACCCTGGGCAGGGCTTCCCCGCGGCCTTACCACTGTGAGAAACTGTGCTCCTACCTCTGACTCTCCTCTCTAAAGGTGGCCTGACATCAGGTGCAAGGTCAAAATCGAGACTTTCAAGAAGCTTCATGAAGACACCATGCTCCTTTGGTTTACCCCTCAGCATTGCAAAAGCAAGCAAGTCTGATCCAAGGTCTCCAGCAGGTCACAGTGACCCCCTATAGCTGGGAAACCACCTTGGCTGGACCACCTGGTGGGATCCGCGGAGCAGGCGGCTCTTGTAGCTCGGGTACAGCAGCACATCCCAGCACGGCCGTTGGGGCTCACACACCTCTCTGCCTACATTTCCTCAGTGTGATGGAGACCTGGATTCCTCTCAAAATACCAAGCAAAAGCTCAAACCAGCAGGAGACTTCCAAAAATGGTACCATTGTGCCCAGAATCTCTGAGCACCTAAGCCTCCCACGGCCAGGACGCTAACCAAAGCTAGACAGGCTGGGGCCCCATGCTGACCAAGGGCCTCGGCTCAGCCTACTTATCTGGTGAGATCCCCACCTCTGCATTTCTCAGTGCTCACTAAACCCCTCGCACTGCCAATCCCCCGTGGCCAGTCAGAGGGCCCAGATGGAAATGGAACACACCGAGCTAAGACAGTGCTGTTGAGACCTCCTGAGACAAAACCCTGCCTCCAAAGACCTAGTGAGAAGGGTTTTTTTGTTTGTCCCCACCAACCCAAACACACTTTCAACTGCATAAGCATGACAAGATAAACTGATTAGTTTTAGACATTCAGATCTGCTCTGCGCGCTACCGAGCACAAGGTGGGCCCGTGGCCTCTGTTCGCAGCATGCACACCAGCGGCGGGAGAGGCCCGGGGCTCGGGCCAGCAGCATGCAGAAGGGGAAGAGGCCAAGGCCCACGGCTGTGTGTCTGTACTCAAATATAGAGATTAAAAAATGCTAAAGAGAAAGAAAGAAAGGCGAGCACACAGCTGCCGTCCCCAAACAGACCTCCCATCTGCCACCCACGGTCTGCATGTCACCTTCTCCAGGCTCATTTGTACTTCATTAACTGCCATTGACTTAACAAGATTTATGCAAATGACACCGTAGGAGCTCCCCAACTCCCACTGCAATCAAGTGATTATGTATGTACAACTCTCCACAGCAATGAAAAATTAATACGTGACAAGCCCACTCGCCGCTGAGCCGGGCTCTGGCTTTTATTTTTCTTGCTTTGCTTTTTAATTTTTATTCGAATAGACCTTATCTTGTTAGGAAGTAAAGAAACAGAACTCTCCGAACCAGTCCCCTCCAAGGCCCCGGAAAGGACAGAACAATGAGAGGTGGGCTCTGGTCCAGGAGAAACGGAGGTAAGCCCCAGAAAGCCGGCCGGCCGTGTTCCTGAAGATAAACCTGGAGCTGGGGCGGGCACAGCGGAAGTCCTGACCCTGGACCGGCCGGCTCCCATACTGGGGAGGAGCCTGGGCTCTCACACGAAGGAGTCTAGAGTTTAAGTGAAACGGGGTTAAAATTACCCACCGCGTACGTGCAACCTGTACAGACGTGGTCCATCTGTGGGGAGAGGAGGCGTGGCTCAGGACAGGGGCCCGGCCAAGCCCGGGGCATGACCACGACGCCTGGCCTGCTGAGCCCCCAGAGCTACCCCTCTGCCATCAGGCAAGAGAGCTGGTGGGCCTGAGGACAAGGTGTCCTGCTGATGGTGAGAAGGGCAGGAACACAAAGGTGACAGACGCAGAGAGGACTGAGGGGACGGCCATTCCCACCTGAGCGCACGGGTGAGGTGGGCTGCTGTAGGCAAGCCCTTGAAGCTCCTGTTGAGGTCAGGGCTCACACATTTGATTTCTAACCCAAAACTCTGCTTCCAGAGCTCTTTGCAGGCTTCTCATCACTTGGGCAGTGGGGAGGGCTACAGGTACTGGGCAGAGGGTCCTGTGGAAGGCGGGTCCCCATGCTTCCCACTGCCTGGTCAGGGCACTTGCCCCCAGGGTCCCACTCAGCACACAGCATCGCAAGCCTCCAGCCTGGAGGCTGTAGGAAAGCGTTTCACTGACGGGCACTGTTCGACTGCTCAACAAACAGCTGCTGAGTTCTCATCTACGCTGGGTAGGTAGCGCCCCGTCCTCTCATTTCCACGTTGTTGAGTTCATCACACTGGGCCTGAGGAACTCGGAGGCTCTCAGGTGATCTGTGCTCCTTTAGAAACACGGTGCATGCAGGCCGGTGCGATGAGCCCACAGGACCATCTACAGCCTGCAGCGTGCACGGGGGGCCTCTGACAGGGCGCTCTGGACACTGACTTCAAACTCCAGCGCTGCGGGAACGGGGGCATCCTTTGTGGAATCGGAGGATTCAGACAGCCTCCGGTGCCCCGATTTACAGAGGAGGAGTCTGAAGTCTGGGGCACCTGGACACCCAGAAGGAGCTAGTCTGTGTCTACACATCAGGACACTGATGAGGGACAAGGAGCTCCCAGAGTCCAGTAGTCACCAGGAAACCAGACTGTCACTAGATTTCAGTGAGATGAAGGTGAACATACACGATCGAAAGGCTGCCACCGACTAGATTCGACTGTGTTACACTTGATGGTCGATACCAGCCTGCACACAGAAGGGGAGCCCCGTCTGTGAGGATCCCCTCCACAGATGAGCAGGGTCAAGACTAAGTGAAGGCCCAAGCTCACTTGGGGCCTGGCTGACTGGCAGAGGGGCTCCTGCCCACCCAAGTCAACAGTGCACATGAACCAGGAACCGTGGAGATTTTCAATCTTCCCCACAGTCCATATCCTAGTGCCAGGTCTAGGGGTGAGAAGAAAACAGTGACCTTCCTGATTGTGAAACTCCTACAGCATAAATGTTATAGACCAGCATCACATGACGGAGAGTCAGGTTATAAATAAGGGAGCTGAAGGAAGAGACCACGTGCACGGACTGAAGGGTCCTAGCAAGCTGTGGGGGTCCCTGAGCTGACCCACACTGTCACCTGGTATGTGAACGTGTGTCCTGGACACAGGCACAATGGCCTTGGTCACCACATCCAGACTGTCCTTCTCCCCACCTGGCAACTCATGGGCAGAGCCTGGTGCAAGGAGTTGCACCAGGGGCACAGGCCCACTCAGTTCTGCAGCTGCTGAGGGGCTTTGCAAAAGTCGTGGGCTTCTCAGGAGGCCCTGTGGACTCCTGGCCTCTGGTCTCATCCCAGGTGCTGTGGCCCTGCTTACCCCTTCCTCTCCCAGGTCAGCACTCTGGACTGCCCAGCCCCCACCAAAGCTGTACCCTGTTTGTTCCAAATGAGTGAAACCTATTATTGCCGAAATGGTCCAGTTGTATTTTAGGAAAGACTCTGTCCCTCTTTAAGAGTGGCCAGTGCCCAGGTGCATTCCTAAAGGAGAAATAAATCCAAGTCCCTACAGATGAGGAGAGGGCATAGGCGATATCAACCAGAGGGCCAGAGCGGACAAGCAGTGTCCACTGGAGGCAGAACTATCATCCTGCCCACAGATTTCTTTTTCTCCTTGAGCAGAGCACACTAAATCAGTTGGCTTCCTTTAACAAACTAAAAGACGGCACTCCCGGAAGCCTCTGTGTGGGGCTGAACTCTATTCTCATTCTCCCTGGAAATAAAATGGCAAAACACACGTCACACGTGAATTCCAGTGCTTTTTACTTGCGACAAAGTGATTTAGCACTGGTTTCTGGGCTGATGGAAACCTATTTCAGGCGAGCAGCACAGGCCAAAACAAATGCTTGAATTCAAGTCCTGTTGTGTAATGAGGAAGTTTAATTAAGGCCCCACATTACAGCTGTAAATGTTCCTTTATATAATAAGGTCTAAATGAAACTGAACCTAATCAAAGTTACAATTCCTTCATTAGCAAATTACAAACAAGCGCACACAGCTGACGCGCCGGCGAGGATTATCACAACTAATTGCCTCGTTGTCACAGGCCAGCCTGAAACAGCGTTCAGATGTCCGTCTGCGAGAGCAAATTAGGGCCACGTCGGGCTATTCCTGTGATCACAAGGGGCTCTTGTACAGCGATCTGATTTACCCGTGTCGCCTGGCGGCCAGCAGCCCAATCAAAGGCACGCTACAAAGGCAGCCTGTGAAGCCGGCCCTGCCTGGACGGGCCCTCCATATGTAGTGGGCACGCGGCACTTCATTAGATCTGTTGTCACATTTCCCTCTTCTCATTCTAATGATCCCATTTTAATACTCCCAGGAACCTCTTCTAATTGATGTCAAGTGAGTGACTTCTACATTCATCAACACCACACATCAAACAAACCCTGGCACCCGAGCCAGCGTCCTCTCGGCCGACCCGAGGTGTGTCTCCGGCGACGGGCAGGGAGGGGGACGCTGCGTACCTGTTTAATTGGGATGGCTCGGCCGCTCCCGATGCTGTCCGCGCGGCTCTCCAAGCCTTTCTTCTCTTTGTCTGGGTCGCTCCCTTTCCGAGACTGCAAGGCAAAGGAAAGTTGGCATTTGGGTGAGGGCCGCAGCTCACACGCCTGCTCTTCCCCTGCCCGCACGCTTCTGACAACAGGGACCTGGAGGCCACATCTGGCACATGTGTGTGCACACACACATCCCAGAAACAGACCCGCAAGCACTTCATCTGCACTGACTCATCATTCCAGAGAATTTCCTAAACTTTCCCCCTGACTTTTTCATTAAAAAAGAATTAAAAGATAATTTTGCAAAGAGTTCAAAATTCAATTACTAGAAACCAATGGACCATCTAGGAAAGTAACGCCCAAGAAGAAAACACATTCCAGAGCTGCAGTTAACACAGCCAAGGAGAAAAGGGGCTCCTTGCTGCTTAGTCGGAAAACAGTCTGCATAAATGTATATATTTAATTAACGTCTGAATGATCTAAAAAATTCTATTAACTAGTCAGCTGAGCAATTTAAATGTGCACCCTTGATCAGCGCCAAGGTGTGGGCGGTGTTGCCTTCTCTTGCTTCTGAGTGGGTAGAAAACAGTGATTTCAAAGTTAAACTAGTGTACCATACCATTGAAAATAATAAGGGGAAAATCCCAGGAACCTCCTCCCGATAAAACGCTGGTATTTGGGAAGAGCGAGCAGCTCTGTGGGTCTGCCTCATTCCGGAGCCAATTATCTCGAAGGGAGCGTGGACACTGCAGAGCTACCCGGGGGCTGGTGGCCAGCGGGGAGGGGGCCACATGTGACCAGGGAGCCACAACCTGAGGTGCACCTTAACTTGGCCAAGACCACAAGAGCGTCCCCATCCAAGTCCCCATCCACCGATGGCGCGAGAAAGGGCGAGCGCCGTGATTTTCTGACAGATTTATTTTATTATGAGAGAAAGATCTGAGACTCGTCCTCCTTAATAACTGTGCTGACAAGTGACAACTTCACTCCATTACTTTTCAATGGGAACATTACTCACGCAATATTGAAAATGGAGAAACATTTTCATGTGCTTTTCAAATCTGAAATGATATATGAAATGGAGAGACCTGGTGGTGTCCAGTGCAGCCGCGATGGTGATAAAACCCAGTTTCAAAGGCATGTGGGATGCTGCGGCCGGTGTTCTAAAACAATGTTAAAAGGGGTGACGGCACAGGACATGAGAAAGCCAGGCCGACGGGACGGGCTCGAGATCCCAGGAGAGGCTGCTGCCAGAATTAAGTGAGAAGACAGGGAGAGGGCCCCCGTGACATCAGGCAGCGCCGGCACCTCAAAGGGCGCTCATTAGAAAATGTGCTGCTTCTGTGACCACAGGGGCTCACCGTTACTGAACACCTACTATGTGTTTGGCAGTACGTGCCTTATTTCCTTTAGGATGTTAGAAAGCTGGAATGGGACGACAGGAAAACAGGAAGCAGCCGAGGAAGACACACAGGGTTTGCCCTCTGGGATAGAAGGAAGGAGAGGTGCTCACCAATTCCTTCAGGAATCACAGCTATGGTCTGGGGGTTTTCTTTTCTCTTTAATTAATTCTTAAATTAATAATGTGTAATGATCTCAGATTCTTTCTTCACATTTTAATTCATACAGAAGCTGGCACTTCAGGTTTCCAGTTGTAAGATGGATTTTAAAGCTTGCAGACAGAACATTTAAAACAATTCTAGGTTGACGTACAGCATTAACAGTACTTTGGGAATTTTACGAATTCTAAATTCCTAAATCTGGAAATCCATCTTCATTATTCTCTATTAAACAGAATAATTAACAAAACAAACATTTTAAAAAAAATTAACATCTTCCTCAGGGCAGCACATCTGTCCCCATAGCCACTTCTGTTCTCAGAGCAGAATCCCCCGAGCAGGAGGAAACGGCTAACTGTATGGCCACGAACAGCTCAGAAACAAAACTAAATCCAACATCTGATCACACGCTCAGCTAGGAACTGGAACCTAGGAAGACCTCACTGCAAAAATCAAAACCAAAATTTCCTGAAAACTAACATTCTGGTGAGAGTCATAAACCTAAATGCCAGCAAAGAGCTGGGCAAGCTGATGGTCAGAGGGCAGGCTGCATCTCAGGTCAACAATTACTCTGTCCAAACAGGCTATATTAATGAAATTGAAATAAAAAACTAATTCACTGGACAAAGAATGCTGCAGCCCATGTAAATCCCCAGCGAGGTCGTCTTCTTGTCCTGCAGACGGCATCCTCCGTCACGGCTGAGATGGCTCTGGGGATGTCAGATGCAGGGGTCCTTGGTACCCACCAGTTGTCGGAGAGCTGCGTCCAGCCTGCTGCACACTAGTGCGAGCATAACCAGGGTTTGTGTGCCTGGCTCAGAAGACGTGGAGACCCCGAGCGCTGAGAAAGGCCGCTCAGCTTCCACAAACGCTCAGTGCAGGTCACCTGATGATCACTCGCTTCCTTACAAAGACGTTTCACTTCCCTCAGGTGAAAGAAGCCAGGAAGAGACATGCCACCCATACCTGTGTACCTGGACAGAGCACTGCTGCAAGAGCCCTTCCTATCAAAGAGACACCACTCTCCCCTTCTCCCCAGCAAGGAAGGGCTGAGGAAGCACCTGTCACGGGCACCCAGGCTCTACAAAAACACAGCGTGCCATTCAGAACTGCCACCTGTATACAGATTGCACATCTTGTTCTCACAGTGAGTTCTGTGAGTTGTTTACTGTTTTGCACAGTCTTGGGACACAGGCATGCTTAGCTCTGGTTAATGACACTGACAGTACACAGCAAGCTTTTGAAATACCACATCAACAACACCATCGCTGCAGTGTGAAAGGAGGCAGAGCAGCGCAGCACACTGTGTGAGGACCAAGCTAGCTTAAAACGTGAACAGAGACAACACGCAAGGGATTCAGCAGGGCTGGTCCCTGGGAGGGAGGCAGGAGACCCCATCTGGGAGGCGACCAAGGAGGGCTTCACCCTTCACTTGGGATTTACTTATTTCTTGACGCAGCAGCAGTGGTAGCAGCAGAAAAACGTTTGAATTTGGTGCGTTGGAAGGTGGTATGTGTGTATATTTTTTACTCTGCTATATTTGAAAACATTTTCAAATAAAATGTTTCAACCACAAGTAAGTTGGGGCTACTAAATTAATCACTATAAGAACCCATATTACAAAACCAGGGATGAAACAGTCTTTTAGGGTTTGTTTTCTCAAAACAATAATTTCTCAAAATATATTTTTACTCTTGATTACTAAAGTATAATTCCTACTATAAAGATCATACATAATTAGCTACTAATACAGAGAGTTTTAATTTGTACCATTTCATGTAAGGTACACATGATTTGTTTTAAAAAAAAAATAAATACATGCAAACAAAAACATCTGGGAGTAGAAAATGTTAGCCCAGCCTATTCATTACACGTCTACTTTACAAAATATGTAAGAATGGTATTTGAAAAAATGGTGTGTGTACTATTTAATTAACTCTGGCCTCTTTGTAATGCACTAATAAATAAGGTGGCTGTTGCCTCTTCACTTGCATATTATAAACCCAGATGCATGGATTTTTATTCACTAAGAGTGATCCCATATGGTACATGTGTCCTCCTTCTAGATACTTTTAAATAAATATACACTTTGACAATTAAGCCAAAAAAATGCCAAAGATCACCAGAGATGAAGAGTCTACCGAATCTTACATTCTTAAGAATGTGAACAAACTGGCAGCAATAAGAATTTAGTTTCTTACTTCCTAAGATCTCAAAATTGATTTGCCTTCTCTTCATTCCTTGAATGACACTGACATCTAGTGGAGTTAATCTAAGATCTTCTACTTAAAAATACTCAGTACTTAGGCATCACCGCTATCGTCACCACCACCATCACCATAATTGTGTCAACTGAAACCCAGTCAGGGACAGGCAGACCCTGCTGGGATTTCAGCCAACTTCATCTTGGCTTCTTTTCATGACCTTCCATTTCTGTTCTCCTAATATAGTCGGGCAGCTGGGTTTGGTTACTACAACAGTGGTTCACTCTCAAATGGTCTTCCAACATTAGAAAGGAAGAGGATACACACGGACCCTGCACAGGCCACAGGCAGGCCGCGATCAGTCGTCCCCCGACTCAGTCCCCATGCAGGGTGGTTCTCTCTGGTTCCTGCACTGCCCACCCAGCCTGCACTCTGGCTCCCTGGCCTCCTGGATGCCCGTGTGCACACGCGCTTCCTCGTGGTCTTGCGTCAGCTGCAAGCAGGCCCTTCTCCTGAATTCTGCTCTCTCCTTTCAGTGTGCGGAGCCCCTAGCTTCCCTCCAGACCCCTCCTCCTGAATGCAGCGGACTCTGGCACAAGCCCTCCTCCTGGACTCTGAGCAGAACCAGGGCTCTGCCGCGAGCGAGGCTAAGTCAATATTTATTAACTGGGTTATTATTTTGATTGTTCCCGTCTTAAAGTGCTCTCTATAGTCCACATGGATGATCGGTTACCCATTATAGGACAGGGTCCAAGACTCTATTTTCTGGCACAATCCAACTCCACAGCTACCCCTTTAGAGGATGGGACAAGAGTGTGCTGCTGATCTTCTTATAAGTAACTCTACTTTTTTGTTTGTTTGTTTTTTGTTGTTGGGGATCTAACCTAGGGGCGCTTCACCACTGAGCTACATCCCGACTCCTATCTATCTATCTATTTATTTATTTATCTTGAGACAGGTTTCACTATTTGCTGACAGTCTCATTAAGTTGCTGAGGCTGGCCTTGAATTTGAGATCCTCCTGCCTCAGCCTCCAGAGCTGCTGGGATTACAGGCCTGTACCACCATGCCTGGGTAAGCAGCTCTATTTTTAAAGGCATTTCCGGGATTTTTATTTCTTTCACTGAATAAAAACCAAAGACAATGAGCAGCTAATGTGACCCTGGCGGGTGCCAGAGGCTATGTTCTCCCTCCCAGCTCCTAACAGGGGTGGCAGTGACAGACACAGAAGCTGTCTTGTCAGATGCATTCACCAGCCTGTTGAGTCCAGAGGGGATGTGCAGCCTGTCCTGTGGGGTGGCCACTTCTCACTGGACAAGGCCCTGCCCTGGGAGAGCTGGGAGGGAGCCACTGGGGCGAGTGTCCCATTCGGTGTGCGCCCACGGACACTGAAGGCCCAGCAGAGGTTCCCTGCACTGAGACACACACTGCCTCCCCTCCAGCCAGCCGTCTTACGCTACTCCCACCTGACCCCATCAGAGGTCACGTATGGAACATTAGTGGTAATGAGGGAACAGGGAAAGCAATGCCACAGGGCTCTTCTGCCCCACTGCACAAGTGCTACCTTCCCAGCTCAGAGAGGTTAAGTGATTTGCCTAAGTTCAAACAGCTGCCAGTCGGGGAGGCCAGGGTCTGGGCCTGCTCTCTCTGATCAGTCTGCACAGCAGCCTCTGCCAGAGCAGCATGGAACAAGGCAATCAGCAAGGAGCAGAGAGCAGTTAAGTGGTACTGTGCAGTCAGCAGACCCTGGCGATACTGACTGTCTCAGGGCGGGAGAGGGAAGAGGCATCTACCAGACTTGGCCGGCACCCGTGGCATCAAGATGGGCATCATCAGGTAAGGGAGGCAGGTGAGATATGCACTCCCAGTTCCCGTGGGGGTATTCTCCTTCAGTTTAAGACAGGAAACACTAAACTTCTTTGTGTCTGAGTCAGCACCAACCAACTAAAAGGAGACAGGTGTGATCAGAGCACTGCCTGCAGGTGGGCTGAGCTTCCTCTGTAGGTGGGGCTGGCCTGTGAGAGTCAGGAAGTTCAGGAGCACCCGGGCTGCTACTCTCGACAGGTACCTTCAGCACCTGACCCATCCACCCCATTCCCATAGTGTGACAACCCCAAATCTCTGCAGAAGTTGCCAAAAGTCCTTCAGATGCAGAAGTGCCCTGGCTGAGAACCCCTGGTTTAAAACCTGTCATGCACAGAGCTAGTCCAGGTGGGGAGAGTGCTCCTGCCGGGTCACATGCCAGCAGCTCTGCCTGGTGTTCTGGGCTCCACTGCAAGGCCTTCCAGGGTTGACTGGTGATGCCTGCTGTGTGGGCAGGATGGGGGTGGGCAGGATGGGGGTGGGCAGGGCAGTGTTTGTGTCTCCTATATTTCAGGAATTTCCTTATCTCAGTTGTCCCCAGAGCCACCCACAGGTCAGGGCCCCACCAGCGGACTCTGAGTTTCTAAATGTGAGCCTAAATACCTGATCTCCAGTTTTCAAACACTCCTAGATGACTCTCTGTGTGCTGTGAGCCCCCAGGGAGCCCAGGGCACATGGGGCTGAGAGCCAGCACTGCCCCAGCCCCGACCTGCACCCACCAAGGTAAGTCCTCAGACATGGAGAACAGGCTGGCTCCCATCTCCCATCTGAAGAAATGGGTGCATACCTTTGAGAATGCCACACAGCTCTGTTTTGTGTAAGATGCAGACAGTGTCTCTCTAGAGACCATGAAATGCTTGTTACAAATCCAAGACACCAAGGCTCTCCATGCACACTGCTCTCCATGGAGAATTCCCATTCTACTCAGCATCCAGACCTTGGCTTCCCACCGCTGTCTTAGATTTCCGGAGTCAATGCCATTCTCATTAACTTAGCTTGGATTCTACGACTATCACTCGACCACCAGACCACAACGTTAACAGGGACCCAGGCTCCTCGGTGTCACACTCAGGCCTCTCCCCAGGGCTGACACTCACGGTGAAGAGGTTGGACCGGCGCTTGGACTGCTTCCGCACAGGCGTGGGGGTGTTGGCAGTGGGAGGCACATCAATCCGAAGCTCCTTCTGGCTGGTGCTTGGGGTCGATGGGACAGAGGAGGAGTAGTCACTTAGGCTCCCGCCGCCATTACTTGTCTGCAATGATCAAAACCAAGGTTTCATTAAGGACACACTCCTGGAACCTAAGGTCACCACCTCAGTGGGGTCGCAGTCACCCAGTTTTCAAGTCTTGTGGGGAGACACAGGTGAGCCAGGGCGGAAGGCAGCCTTCTGTGACTTTGCCAGCTGTGCGCAGCAAGCACACAAGGCCTCATTCTAGAAATCCGCCATCTCAGAGTTGTTTTGTCTAAGAAAGTGACCAAAGGTAACAAAGCGTCTATCATTAAACTTGAGCATTTCAAACAGCTAAAATGTAAGCATTTCCCTTCCCTCTGGAAAGCAAAGAGGCTAGTTAAACTAATGGATTCCCCGTTCCTTCTCTGCTCTAGAACGGGAGCAGAGGGACCTGGTTTGCTCAGCAGAACCACAAGGAACATTCTGCAGATGACATCTGGAAATCGGGTGCTGCTGGAAGATGTTTCCAGGCTCGCAGGAAGTTAAAGACGCCAACAGTACGGCGTTGACATTCCTGAGTGAGCCTTCACAGCCCACAACAGAGACCACAGGAATGGACTGCCTTCCCGGGCACTGCACCCTCTGGACCCAAGGGCCAAGAGACCACCTAGCAAGAAAGGTCAATCACAAAACCAGTGCAGGCAAAATAAAGCGACAGTATCCTGAACAGGCTTCTGCAAGTTCTTCAAAGTGACAATTATTTCATTTGCTTCCAAGTAAATAATTTAGCAAAATGTTGTTGTGTAAAGAGAGCAGTTTCTAGAGGGCCCGGGGGAGGTGGCAATTATAAGGAATTGCGCTGCCAACTTGAGGCGTACAGTGGTTCACCCACAAGACTGAGAACTGTTAACCTGCAAGTGGGCCAGGACCAAGACCAGAGCACAGTGCCTTAAATCAGCAGCGGACACACTCCTGGCGCTGCCCTGGGCCAGCGTGGCTCATAATGGATTCCAGGCAGCAGGAGACAGAGCACTTTCAGGAATGACCCCTAAACCCCAGCTGGCCACGGCAGTTTCTGAAGGGAACGGGGGTCAATCACACACACACTGCTGTTATCTCCGCAGTTGGAACGAGCCAAGCCGACTTCTGCACTGACTGCAGCACTGTCTCCACGCTGTCCCTGGTCCCAGGTCCCCTCAGTCCCTCATCCCACCTGACATACCTGGCTGATGTGCACGGCAGACACCTGTGCAGAACAGACGGAGGAGTGGCTGGGAGAGTTGGGCAGGGACTTGCAGGGGCCGATGGACAGCTGCTGCTTCTTCCTTGTGGCAACAATCTTCTGGGCAACTGGTAGACACAGAGGCAAAAGAAGTCATCCTGAAGCTGGTGTCCAAACACAACAGGCAGAGCCGACGAGCTGGGGACCCCGAAATCCGCAGGGCTTTCCCTCCTTCCACAGGACCTTCAGTTGGGCACCTGAACACTTCCCAGAGCTTCCCCCTGTGGCCCAGCAAGCAAGCTCTGGGCAGTGGACCTCGTGTCAGCTCCCAGGAAGCCACCTTCCTCCAGGGAGAGCTGCCCTCTGCCCATTGCTCCCTTGTGTCCTTTTCCTTCATCTGCCTGAATCGCAGAGATGTCTGTGGCCCCAGCAGCCTTCTTGGGCCATGAGGTGGTGCTGGAGATACAACCGACACTTAGTGAGGCCGGATACAGAAGGCACGGAGGGCTTCCGCCCCGGGGCACACCCCCTCAGAGGACTCACGTGTGGAAACAAAAACACATTCCCACAATGTGAAATTTGCCCTAAAATAACCATTTCCCAGTTAGTTGTAGCACTGATAAGCCTAACTGGAACAGGGAGATTTCCCTAAGGCCCTTGGAACCCCAAATCCTCCTGTTACACTGCCTGAGGGATCACTCTTAACTCCACAGGCTCTGGTGGAGGCTGATACTCAAGCACAAGCAATTATATCCAAGCTCTTTTTTATTTAAACGTATCACCTCCACACTGGAAGTTTATCTTAATCAATACAAATCTGAATCCAACCAGCCATAACTTCTCTTGGCAAATAGGCTCGCTGATAAAGCATATTGGATTTAATTGGAAAGGAAGCCGACGGTTAGAAAGCCCTTCCTGCACTGAGGGGTGTCACTGCAGGAGGAGTCCCGGGGTTCATGTGGATGGATGTGGGCCTCGGGGAGTGGCTGCAACTGTGCTCAGTGCTACTCTCTTGGTCTGGGTTGTTCCGGCCCCCAAAGGTGCCAAAGTGGAAGGAAGGACTCCTTGCCTTTCCCTGGCCCCTGGTGATGTCCTGGAAGCAGCCCACATGCTGCCCACAGACCATGCTCACTGATGATTTCTTTTCCAAATGAACACAATTTTAATAAGGAACTGGTCTGTCCACAGCCTGTGGTTTTCGTGTGAATGAATGATAGTATAAATATGATTAAGTAAAAGTGCAATGAATAAAAAATGGTTCAGGAGACGAAGCAGCGGCTCCATTAGTTACATCCCCCTCCAATAGGCTTCTCATCAACCTGAAAGGATGGTATCAATTAATTTATCTTCCTGCAGTGTATCGAACATAACCTTCATCAGCTAATCATGTTTAAATTACAGAGGAATATCGCAGCACTCTGTCATTTCAAAACCATTGGCGTATTGATCAGGGGTCTTTGAAGACACATATTAGAATATTTTAAAAATCATTGCATGAACTCAAAAATGGAATCTAAGATCAGCTTCCAATAGCTGCGGAACGTGTATCACACAGGTGTACTGAGATCCCAAAGACCTTAAAGCAAATTAGCCTGAAATCAAGGCTGCCTGGGTGAGTACTGATCCTTATCCTTTTGGAACACAGCAAAAAGGGGCTTCTGGTACCAACTGCCCCACGTTCTGGTTCTCTGCCAGCCTCAGTGTGTACCCGCTGTGTGACCACACAGGCCACCGAACACAGGAGCCGCACATCGCCCACAACAGGACCGGATGGGCCAGGAGAGCTTCGCAGACACTCTCCACACGTGTGTTTCATGCCAAGGCAACGTTAGAGACTTTCCACGAGAAGTCAGAAATTTCACGAAAACCCTAATTCTATGGATCTCCAAATGGAAATGAATGTTGGGTCCTCTCTACAAACAGGCTAGAAAGAAGGCGTTGGTGATCAAAAAGAACGTTTTCAAAACGATGTACATACAGAGCATGGGCCGTGTCCTGAGGACTAAAATCCTACTGTCCCTTTATTACTGCTCTACCACATTAACTGCAAAAGAAAAACAACAACAACAAACCAACCAAACAAACAAACAAATCACGAAGTCATAATCTGTAATGCCTGGTGTCTTTTTTTCTTTTTAAATTTTACTACAATATTTCCCCATTTTAATTCCTTCCTACTCTCATACACAAATTAAAGAAAGAAAATGATTTACAAATACCTTGTCCTAAGACACAGAGGCTGCTTTAGAACTACAACGATCTGCCTAAGGAGGACATCACCAGGAGGCGAAGGCCCTCTGTGAACCTTCGGCACCTTTCCATCAGGAGGACGGAAATCCGCTACCGTGAAGACCTATGGCTCACACCGTGGATCTGCTAACCGCAGCTCTGCTGCTTGCTTGATGTCCCACGGAGGGAGTGACATGTCTGGGGGCCCTGCTTAAAGACGCCCCTGAGGACTCTGGACAAAAGCTAACATGATAACTGCCACCCGACTGGCACTGTGGTCCAGGCCTCACACCATGGCACCAGTCTGGGTGGGGCGCAGGAGCCCCAACAGAAGAGGGGGTGGGGGGCATGCGGACTCCTCGCAGATCCAAGGAAAATCAAGGCCGGGGATGGAGGGCTCAGCGGGAGTGCACTTGCCTGGCATGTGTGAGGCACTGGGTTCAATTCTCACACAGCGTCTAAGTAACTGGAATAAAGGTCTACCAACAATTAAATACCCCCAAACCCCACATTTCAGGGGAGAGAGAAAGCAGATACATTTACAAGCTGCTGAAGGTGAACGTTCTGACCAACAAAGGGAGAAATGTGGAATGGTTCAGATGTGAGGTGCCCTCCTAGAGTCCCCGTGAGACCGTGAGGAAGGCCTGGAGGGGACGTGCCTGGGTACGCGGCCTGAGCCCAGGCGCTGCACTGATGTCCCGGTGGGGACTCACTGCCGAGGACTGAAGGCAGGCGGGGTGGCTGGAGGAGGGGGCCTGGGGAGATGCCTTTGGGGGGCCTATTTTGTACCTGGTGAGTGGATGCTTGCTCTGCTTCCCGATCACGTGCTGGATTGCTTTCCTCTGCCACATCCTGATGTCACGAGGCTCTGCCTCACCCTGGGCTCTGAGGAATGGAGTCAGTCATCTACAGACTGAGACCTCTGAGGCCATGAGCCCAAACAAACTTCTCCTCCTCTAAAACGGTTCCTTCCAGGTCTTTCAGTCGCAGCAGTGAAAACGCTGACTAAACCAAATGGTGATCACTGAGTACTCAGGGTGTTCAGGGCGCGTCAATGTCAGTAGGTTTAAAAGGTGACCGCGACCTCTGACTGTGCTGGCTGGGCAACTGTCACAACCAGTTTCTGAATCTGGTCATTCGACGGTTGAACATGTTACGTATCTTACATCAGAACATACGCAAGTGTGTACATCTGTGTCTAACGGTGTGCGTTTATCAAAAGCCCAGCCACTGAGCTCACGAGAGCCCAAAATCTTTATCATGGGCATCTGACTTAGCCTCCACGTGGTGACTGCGTGACCGTGAATGTGCCCATGCACTGCGTCTGTGCCCAAAGTGGCCTCCTCAGCAGGCCTGGAAGGCGACTGGCCTACACTGGACGACACTGCTCAACTCATCACCTCCAGGTGACGCTCGGAGCAGCTTCAGGTCACCTTTGCTCTAACTTTACAATCTGGCTTGGGCATGGATGGAAGGTGAAGCTGCCCTGCAGTCAGCCCTGCAGTGCTGGTGAATACACGGCAGGAGGCTCACAGCAAGCCAGCCCCGGGGTCGGGCTGAGCAGGGTGGGAAGGCTCTTGACCACTTTGTCCTCAAAGCAGGAAGACAGGCAGAGGACAGGGTCCAGTTTGGCCCGTGACTGCCCTCAACTCCCTCAGGCAGCCGTGAAACACTCCCTCCTCTGCCTGCGACCTCTCCTGCTCCCCAGTCTCTACAGGGTTCTTACGTCACTGGTGTAAGGGACAGAGCCCAGCCCATAGCACACAGGCGGAGCTCAGCCAGGGCTGTGTCAGTCCAATGGCGTACCAAGTCCCATCTCTCAGCCCCCTCCGGGCAAGCACACATAAAGCCACCTCCCCTGTCTGATCCTGCAGTCTGCCCCTGGGCCCTGGCTGGACCTGCCCTGGCATGGTATCTGGGGTCACTGTGGCCGCCAGAAGACAACTGCACACTGCTACCTGACCCCTGGGCAGCACCTGGCATCGCTGACCGCGTCCTCACTGGGCTTCCTGGACACCCCATTTCCTTGCCTCCCCCACCTGGATCCTCTTTCCATCCCCCTCTGCTGGCCCCTCTAATGGACGTGCCCCAGGTTCCCGTCTTCAACCCTCTCTTCTCTCCAGGCCCCTCTGGAGGAAGCTTCTCCTCGCCAACGTTTCATCTTCCTCAAGGCCGCTGGCTCCTGCTGTGGACCTGACCCACCCTCCTCGCGTCCTGCCTGCATTCTAGAACTGTGGGTCCACTGACCACACGCCTCCCTGTCAACGAGCAGGGGCAGTTCAAATGCACGCCACCCTCCTGGGACTGCCCGCTTCTCTCAAACCTGCTTCTCCTGTCTTCTAACTCCATGGACCACACAACCCCCACCCCCAGGCTCGGAGACAGGCGGCCAACAGATTGCTGACTACACCCCCAGAATGCCCCTGAATTCTTCTTTGTGGCTACTGTCATGCCCAAGAAACCCTGTCCACCCAGAGCTGGTACACAGGCCTCTGGCACTGCAGGTGGTTCTCCTAAGACAACCCTCTCATGACATTGTTCTGCTTGGTTTTTCAATGGCTCTGGTAGGACAAACCTCAGGACTGGCTATTTCCTGTCTGTGGGGGCAGATTCTACACTCCTGGTATTCACTACACAAAAGCACCAGTCTCTTTCAGAATACAGAGCTCTCAGGACGCTCCCATGTACCATACGTGTCACGCAGAACCAGATGACCCCCAGGTTGGAGAGAAGTCAGGCAGTGCCCTCTGGAGGGGACGGAAGCCTTATCTATGGAAGAGCGCAGATCTGACTGCCGCGGGGCCAGGGTTAGGCACAAGCGGCAACCAGCAAGCCAAACTGGAGTAGGAAGATTCTTCTACTACTACAGCACGGTCAGACCACTGTCCCTGGGGCTGGG